GAGGAAGTTAAGAAGTACTGGGATAAGAAGAGTAGCTCATTGCCAAAAACTCGCAACTTACAATTTCAGTTATGATTGAAACCGAAACAGCTTCAAAGATGTTATTGACATATATTTGAGAACCATCGCGCTCCTCTCTGGACACTGCTAAACAAAGGATGTGATGTCACCGAAAAAGGAGTGTACTACTCGGAGTACAAGTCTTCAAGCGAAAGACAGTCGGTCAGTCTGGGAGCACTTTCAATAGGCAGGTTAGTATTTGAAGGTATGCTAGATAGCTTTGCTTCTGAACATACATGCAGCTCTTTGTGTGTTCTCTTTTCATTCTGGTTTTTACAAAAAGGATAGCGTCCTCTAGCCCTTTTCAAACTTCCGTTTGAATATGCCTTACACCATCTCAGTTATAGAAAATTTTGAAAGTTTTAGGATGAGATGAATGTAATGGGATAATCCCAAAAAACGAGAAAAATCTTAGTTCAAAAAATTTCAACTCTATAAAACAAAGTAATTTCTAGGATTGGAATTATCGGCAAAGGTGTTATTGCTTGTGGATTAGCAGCTACTATAGGTATACGCTACAGTGCATGTCGCAAGCAGTTTGGACCAGCAAAAGGAGGTAAGTTGATTCCTCCAGCAGACAGTTCTATGACTGGATATTATTCACTTGCAGTCAAGAGTCAGTCATCTTTAAAGATAAACTTAATTGTTCTCGATAAATTTCAATCTCCCTTGGAACTTCAAGGCATAGAAAGACTGGGAAATCCATGTTTATAAAGCCATACCTACCGTCGGAGCTTTCAAAATTTAAAGCAGGTTTATCTCCCGTCCATCTAAACAATTTTTTTCAACAAAATAGCAAAAACAAGAGTCCTACATTCAAATCTATTCCAGTCTAGAAAGGTGGATCGTAACTGAAATTTTTATTTATCAGGAACCTAACTGAACTGCTCCACAAAGTATTGGAGTCATCTACACTTTTGTTATTATAATTATGTCTATTCATTGAACACTCAATGCGTTCCGCCTCAGTACTTCTTAATCCATTTTCCTCTACTATAATTTCATGATATACAAGCAAAGTTCTAATTTAGAAGAGATTCCAGTGCTAGATTATCCACTGCAACGGCATCGTCTGTTTCCATTCTTAGCTGGGCATTTTACACTGCGAACATTCCAGAATAAGTTAGCACTTTTCGTTATCTGAATTCAGTCGACAAAACATAGTTAGAGTTACATTTACATTGGTTTGAGCGATACTGTAGAAATTGCATATTATTTCAGGTTCTGGGAACACTTCACTGGCTATATGATGCGCGTAATGCAAGGAGAAAAATCTACTGAACTGGTCAGTTGTGTGTTTGCTTAGAAGTAATCTGTCATTGTAAATTTTTTAGGCGGATTTCGCTAAAGAGATACATGCGTTGTCGTCATCAGCTAAACCAGTCGCTACATGGTTTGGAGTACAAGCGC